CAGATTATTAACTAAATTAAGTATACATCGCATTTAATTTACAGAATTTTGTTTTCATATATATTTACTGACCCACTGAAATACTGCACATTAGATTTTTTAGAGTTTTGTGGTCAGAAAGATTGTATTACAGTTGTTTAAATAACTGAACTTAGATTATACAAAGTAATCTTCTACCTAGTTGTACAAGAATATAATGGTACAGATAATTCCTGACACAGAAATCAGAAAGATTTGCTAGGGTTAGGAGCCACATATTATCTTGTGTAGCCAGCAAGATTTGACATTCACGATCACAGCTTCACAATGGCAAATGTGGCTCTTTTATATTTGTTGCTTGATGATGAAACAGATTATTGGTGGGAATGTGTACGCATATTTGCAACAAGACTTCAAACTACCAGAGTTGCTATATCCCACTACACGATACAGATTGATGCCATTTTGAAATAGGTATACCCTTCTTCCCTGTTTACAGTTTCTGATTATAATTACATTCTGTTATCCAGAAAAATTGATACTACTGAGGTTTCCTTAGTCTTAGATTTTCTGATTAAGATAAACTGTAATAAATGTGTTGGATGCACACGTAGATTATTGCTAATAGGCAAGCCTCTTGGCATCCAATAAATTCCCTGCTTCACCTGATTTTAAACTAGAGGGTGGCATGCTGTAAAGCAATATTTGAAGGATTATCACATGCCAAGATTTTCTGCATGTGCTGTGTATGTGTGTGTGCCTTTTCTTGTTTGTTATTTTAATGTGTTTTGGGACAATGCACCTTTCTGTATTTCTGCATAGAGGACTAATTTGGCATGAGTATTTTTCTCAGCATCCCATTTGTATTTTTAAAATTAGGTGCCGTGTAGAGCAGAAACGTGATTTTGCATACTGCTGTCTTGCACTAGATTCTTTGGAAAACATTTTTAGGGCTTATACCCATTTCACAATAATATACTCAGTAGGTCCAAAAAGTTGGAAAGCTCATAATTTACTTAGAATACAGGTGGGAAAACCACAGAGTATAGAGTAGAACCCAAGATGCCATCTCCACAACTACCACCAAATGTTGCCTTTACTTCATGTGTACCAATCAGCAGGCTGAGAACCCTGCTAGTTTCCTGGAGAAGGTAGCACATGGTAATAATATCAGATTAATGTACATTAACCTTCAGTCTATGGCATAGCTGAATGGTAGGCTGAAAGTCCCTCCATTCCCCATGAATATGAGAGAAAGAGAGTGAATCGTAGAGAAAGGCAATCCTACTTGCAGGTATCACCACCCTAAACTATTCTCATCTCCAACAAAACCCATTAGTGCTATGCAAGCAAAAATAATTGTTTATGGTAATAATGAACCAAATTAAAAATCAAATATCAATTATCAGTATTTTCCTTTTTTTTTCTTTTTTAGCGCGGAATGTTAATATAGCTAAACACAAACACAACATTGGGAGAAATATGCTGGTTATCATATACATTCATAGGATTCATTTGTGTATGTTCAGCAGTAATAGGCTATACAAAGAAGTCACCAATACAGTATAAGATTAAGATTTTTAACTTACTTCATATGTTAAAGTTGAAAGCTTACTAACATTTTATTTAGTTTCACTAAACTAATGTTTATTTTTTTAATTTGAAAATTAATGGTTAATGGTTTCTACCTGTATCAAATTATTTGATCACCTTAATCAAAGTCCTAATGTGTAGCACCAATGATATGCACCAACCAAAGCATCCACTTGGATATAAAGAAGCAATGCTGAATTCTTCATTTACTTATAAATTTTTCTACGTGGCCTTAGGTAAATGAAGTCACTATATTCTATGTTAAATATACTTTATAAAGCTTTCAAACTGCAGAACTGCTTTGAGCTCCCTGACAGAAAACTGGAAACAAATTCCGAAGTACTTTTTCTAGCTTGAAAAAATACTGCTATTTGTGAACCCAGAAAAAAACCACTTTCATAAATTGACCTTTCTTTATTTGCTTATAAAAGCAATCATTTCCATTCTAACTTCAATATATATCAAGCTGGTTATTGGAAAAGCACTAAGAATTTTATTAAATTTCTTCATACTTTTAAGATATACTCAGCCATAGCCAAACAATGTTGCCAAAATCATATGCATAAGAATATTAGGATCATCAAATATAGCATTTGATGGTAATCACAAAATAGACAAATCAAAGCAATTTCTCCTACACTTCCATTAATAGTGGATTCAAATATAATTATCTTTTGGATTCCATGCACTAATAAATTTTACCATGCAATTCTCAGTTCAAAATGCATAGCTTTAGGGAAATTTTGTGCATTTTAAATGTTTTAAAATGACATTGCAGAATAAGGTGGAAAAAATATATCCAACCGCAAACAAAATTTACAAATTAGGGATAGCCTCCTATTAAAACTCTAGTAATTTTTGATCATTTGCCACATTGACTACAAGAAGGGCAGCTGTAGTTCAAAACATCCAGACGGATCCAGATTGGAGAAATCTATATTAAATTACAGATCAATTTGATTGCACTTTTCTTTCTCTTTGTACTCACACATTCTCCTGTGTTCACTGCAAATTGTTCACTGCAAAGATTTGCTCAGAAATGTTTG